AATCCCCAAATTTTGAAATCCCTAGTTTCTACCCAAAAATCCCCAACTCCAACATGAAAATCTTAGATTTTAGGTTGAAAATCTATGAAATGTAATGGGTAATTGAAAGACTGTGGTTTAGAATCACTTACCAACACTTGGAGGAAGAAAATGACCTTTGAAAATCGCCTCAAGGCCGTCTAGCTTTTGGAAATGTGAAGAAATGGCGTAAGTCCCGTTGTGGGACTGTTTTATGAACTGGGCGACAGTGTTCATCGCATTCGCGAGGACACTGTCGTGTTCGCGAAGAGCAGAGATTGCCAAGCTTACGCGTTCGCGAAACCCCTATCGCGTTTGTGAAGGTTACGCCCCCTGGCCTTCATGTTCGTGAGTCCTTGCTCGTGTTCGCGATGAAGAGTGACTGCCCCCCCCCCCAGATCCCAAATGCTACGCGTTCGCGATGAGCTGGTCGCGTTCACGAAGGGTAAAGCCCCCATCACTCCGCGTTTGTGACCAGGACTTCGCGTTCGTGAAGAGGAAAAACTCACCCTGACCAGCTTACTCTTTGCGTTCACGAGAGTATCTTCGCGAACGCGAAGAAGAACACACTAGAACAGTTTCTGCAACAAATATACCAGATTTTCTAAGTCCAAATCATCCCGTAGTCTATCCGAAACTCACCCGAGCCCTCGGGGATCCAAACCAAACATGCACACCAGTCTAAAAATATCATATGAACTCTCGCGATCAAATCGCCAAAGTAACACCTAAAACTACGAATTGAACACCAAATCGAATGAAATTTTCAAGAGAGCTTTAAAACTTCTATTTTCTCAACTGGACGTCTGAATCACGTCAAACCAATTCTATTTCTTACCAAATTTCACAGACAAGTCTTAAATATTATAATGAACCTGTACCGAGATCCGGAACCAAAATACGGACCCGACACTAACAATGCCAAACATCAATCAATTCTTAAAGACATTAAATTTTCAGATTTTTTAATGTTCATCAAAAATCCATAACTCGAGCTAAGAACCTCCGAATTTGATTCCGAGCATACGCCCAGGTCCCATATTTCATTACGGACCCACCGGGACCGTTAAAATACGGGTTCGTGTCCATTTACTCAAAACATTGACCGAAGTCAACTAAAATCAACTTTTAAGGAAAAAATTCTTATTTTCATCAATTTTCAACATCAAATCCCTCCAGAAACATGCCTGGACTGCGCATGCAAGTCGAGGAGGGTAAAAATGAGATGTTTAAGGCTTAAGAGCGCAGAATCGAGTTCTAAAACATGAGATGACCTTTTGGGTTATCACAGTCATCTCCTAGTGTATACAAGGTTATTTGCCGTAGATGGTTTGCGGATTGTAATTGGATGCTGCGTGCGAGGAAGACGAAAACAAATATGTGGGTAGTAGGTAAATATGTTGGCATCCATAATTGTGAAATGGACACATTTAGTGAGAATCATTTTAACTTGAATGTTGACTTGATTTCTCTTGTCTTGATTCCACACATTGAAGCGTCCATAAAGTACAAGATCAAAGAGTGTATAACATCTGTCCACCAGGAATATGGGTGTACTATTTCCAAAAGAAAGGCATTTCTTAGGTGCAAACGTGCGTTTGAAATTGTTTATGGTAACTGGGATAAGTCTTTTGCATCTCTACGCAAGTACATAGCCGCATTGCAACACTTTAACCCAGAGACTATTATTGAATGGAAGCTTGAACGAAGTCCGGGAATACCAGAACATATATTCAGATATGTGTTTTGGGCATTTAAACCAGTAATTGATGATTTTGTGCATTGCGGACCGGTAATATCCATAGACGCCACTCATGTCTATGAAAAGTATGATATTAAATTGTTGATCGTAGTTGCAGTAGATGTTAATGGAGGTATATTTTCACCAGCTTTTGCTATTTGTGACAATGAAAGCCAAGAGACGTGGACACTATATTTGAACCACTTGAAGGAGCACGTTGTCAGATAACGTTCAGGTATTTGTCTAATATCTGATCGGCATGGTAGTATTTTAAGTTCTGTACAAAATTTGCATGCATGGCAGGAACCGTATTTCTATCACCGTTACTGTGTGAGGCACCTGAAGGCCAATTTCCAGAAGACACATCCCAACAAGGATTTGCATGATTTAATATGGATGGCTGCAACAGATCACCAAGTGTGCAAATTCAAGAATCGAATGGTATTGATCAGGCAGGAAGACAAATGAGCCTATCATTGGTTGATGCGACATGAGCTTGACAAGTGGACTTTGCATGCAGATGGTGACATAAGATGGGGAGTTTTGACTACAAATGTGTCAGAGTCTTCAATGGGTTATTGAAGTCTGCCCGTGTATTGCGTGTCACTGCCATGGTGTAGATGTCATTCAAGTAAATGGTAGAGAGGTTTGTTAAAAGGGCTAGAGGTGCATCTTCATTGATGGAAAGGGGTGTTGAATTTGTGCCAATACCAATGAAAAGATTTGAGAAATACAGGAGGCGAGCACATTGGCATTCATATTTATAGTATTGCAACGAGCGAAATATTTTTGAAATTCGAACAACTATCCATCAAAATCGGGGGAATAATACACATACCGTAAAATAAAGCGAGAAGGTTATTCTCTTGTGGGAAATTGTCCATATACCACATGCCGTGCTCACATACGATGAACTACTTTCAACATACAGGTTTCGCGGTAACCAACCACGTTGATAAAGAATATAGTGTTGCTATATACTTAAACACCTATAGTGGGCAGTTGCAGCCCATGGGTGCTGAACATTATTGGCCGCCAGAACCATTTAAAATGGTGTGTAACAAGGAGTATTTGCGTCAACGACAAGTGCAAAAAAGAACGCGTATACGGAACCAAATGGATGTTGGTGATACCGTTTATACGCGTAAATGTGGCATAATTATTGGTAGAAACTTAGGTAGTCCCTCCCACTCGACAACTGTTGGGAAAACAGGATAATCATCGTCTTTATGTAATTTATCATTTTCTAATAAATCCCAGTACTAATCCTTCGTTCCTCCTAGGAAGTTAAGATCATCCATTGCATGATGAACACCTAGTGCCTTTTCCATCTCTAGAATCTCCTTCATCAAATATCGAATCACTTCTGGTTCATCTTTGTGCGTGTTTGTTTGGAAGCTTGTAGACAGTGCTTGTGGCACAACAAGCCCATGCCAACGATATAATACTTCGTAATCACACCGTTTTGAGTAAAGGGGACCCATTGTATTTTTTTGCCCCAAATTCGCATACCTTCAGGCTTTGTAGAATGCGCTTCGCCTTCAATAATGTACCCTGCAACTTTGAGATCAGTGTGTATATTGATAGGCTTATTTTTCAAGGGACGCAAAACACCATACCACTTGTCGTCAACTAAATCAGTGTAGCAACCTCGCATATTTTTTTTAAGGTAGGGATCGATAGTGTTAAGACGTGTTCCATGGGGATTTGTTGAACTACCTTCACCATTTTGCCTCTTTTTGAACCACTTGTTAAATGTTAGTTGCATTTTTTAAATGGGTGTTGTAATGTTTATTCAAAAGGTCTTTGAAATACAGATGACTTGGTTCAGTTTAAGCAGCTGTCTTATACCCGAAAGAATCATTATCACGCGAAGCATAGCGCGGTGAAATACCACGTTATATGTATTGTCTTGTCGACTTGAAAAAATTGTTGTTCTGCAAAAGATATCTTTTGAAAAAGCTGTATTGTACCCGAAAGAATCATTATCACGCGAAGAGGACTGGACGGGTTTTTATGTGGGTATAGCGCTTTATATTAAGACGCTATAGTATAGCGTCTTAATATAAGGCGTTATACCTCCCCGCTCTTTTGAGGTTCAAATATACAACAACAACAACAACCCAGTAAAATTTTACTAATAGGGTTTGGGGAGGGTAGTGTGTACGCAGACCTTACATCTACCCTGGAGGTTCAAATATAGTGCCTTTTAAAAGGGCGCTATACTTAAATGGGCAAACGGTCGTTAAGGTATAGCGCCCTTTAAAAGGGCGTTATATATATATTATTGTCACCAGTTTTTTTTCCAACACATTTTGATTTTTTGAGTTCAAAAGAATCACATTTTGATTTCGGAGTCCTATTCTCCCTATTTGTATCTCCTTTTTCATCTCTTCTCTAAAATGACACTCAAATACAGGTCCATTTGCAATATGTCACAATTACTTCTCCACTTTGAGAAAGCAAATATAATAAATAGAAGCAAATTGTTAAAGCACTAAAAACCCCAACATACTCACTTGTTAAATGTTAGTTGCATTTTTTAAATGGGTGTTGTAATGTTTATTCAAAAGGTCTTTGAAATACAGATGATTTGGTTCAGTTTAAGCAGCTGTCTTATACCCGAAAGAATCATTATCACGCGAAGCATAGCGCGGTGAAATACCACGTTATATGTATTGTCTTGTCGACTTGAAAAAATTGTTGTTCTGCAAAAGATATCTTTTGAAAAAGCTGTATTGTACCCGAAAGAATCATTATCACGCGAAGAGGACTGGACGGGTTTTTATGTGGGTATAGCGCTTTATATTAAGACGCTATAGTATAGCGTCTTAATATAAGGCGTTATACCTCCCCGCTCTTTTGAGGTTCAAATATACAACAACAACAACAACCCAGTAAAATTTTACTAATAGGGTTTGGGGAGGGTAGTGTGTACGCAGACCTTACATCTACCCTGGAGGTTCAAATATAGTGCCTTTTAAAAGGGCGCTATACTTAAATGGGCAAACGGTCGTTAAGGTATAGCGCCCTTTAAAAGGGCGTTATATATATATTATTGTCACCAGTTTTTTTTCCAACACATTTTGATTTTTTGAGTTCAAAAGAATCACATTTTGATTTCGGAGTCCTATTCTCCCTATTTGTATCTCCTTTTTCATCTCTTCTCTAAAATGACACTCAAATACAGGTCCATTTGCAATATGTCACAATTACTTCTCCACTTTGAGAAAGCAAATATAATAAATAGAAGCAAATTGTTAAAGCACTAAAAACCCCAACATACTCATAAACTATCTTCATTTCTTTCCCCCATTTCCCTCACGCTTCTCATCATCATCTTTGATCAACTCCTTTAAAAATTCTTCAATTGCAACATCCTTTCCACAACCTTTGATCTTAGAAACAGTTTCTTGAATGCTCAAAAACAGTCATTTCTTCTCTAAATGCTTCAACTTTTCCATCTTTTTTTGGTCAATCTTTGAGCTGCAAAAGAGTTTCTTGAATACTCATAAACAGCCATTTTGTTTGATGAACCTCTAAAACCTTCAATTTTTCCATCTTTTCCACAATTTGTGATCTGAGAGACAGTTTCTTGAATACTCAAAAACAGTCATTTCTTCTCTAAATACTTCAATTCTCCATCTTTTCCTCAATTTACAATTTCTTGAATGCTAAAAAAATAATTCATTTTCTCTATATTTTCCTCTATCTCTGAGCTAAAAACAGTTTCTTGAAAACTCATACACAGCCATTTTGTTTATTGAACCTATATAAGTTTCCATCTTTTTTTCAATCTATGAGCTAAAGAACAGTGTTTGTGTATTTTGCTAAACCCCTTTAGAAGCTACAAATTCTCAATCTTTTGATCAGTCTGAGCTGAAAGACAGTTTTCGGGTAAAGGGTACTGAATTTTTCAACTTTTAACGCTTCTCATCCTGAATCTCGATGAATTTCCTTAAATTCTTGAAGTGTTGTGTCTAACAAAAAAGACAGTTTTTTTGGTTGAAAAATGTCAACTTTTGAAGCTAATATTGCTGACATAGAGGCAAATGGAAGTAACCGGAATGGTAGTTTCCGCCGTCACCGCCGCCGTAGACGTCGGCAGCGGCCGTCAATGGCGGCGAGCAGTGAGACAACAACTACTGATGGGAGTCTCCACTTCACTGATTCAGACTCTGACCAGTCTTGGCACTCACCTTTAGGCTCTATGGCTGGTGAAAGTGAGGGTATTTTGGTAAATTGTGAGCCACAGAGGGACAACAAGCAAAGAGAGTCTTTCTCAGATGAGGAGATTGATTTGGAGAGTGGTGAATTGGAGTTGTTGAAATTGCATAATAAAGAAGAGAGGGATTGTAGGATTTGTCATTTGAGTTTGTTGAAAAGTGGTGGCATTAGTAGTAGTGGTGGAGATCAAGTGCAAGAGCATTCTATAGAGATGGCTATAGAATTGGGATGTTCTTGCAAAGGTGACTTAGGTGCTGCTCATAAACAGTGTGCTGAGACTTGGTTCAAAACCAAAGGAAACACGTGAGTACTATAACTCTCTCTCAGTAGTCAATCCCCCTCCCATTTTGTAGCTTCTACTTTTAGTTTGTGTTTCGGTTGCATTATATCTGGTGTTTTGAAGGGGAGTCTTGGCGTAATAGTTAAAATTGATGCCATGTGACCAGTAGGTTACGGGTTCGAGTCGTGAAAACAGTCTCTTGCAGAAATGCATGGTAAGACTGCGTACAATAAACCCTTGTGGTCCGACCCTTCTCCGGACCCTGCACATAGCGGGAACTTAGTGCACCGAACTGCCCTTTTGCATTACATGGTGTTTGTTTTGTTAGAGACAGACTTGTATGAAGTATAGAATACGTGAAAAATTGATCGGAATTGAGTGGAATGAATGTAGAGGATTCGTAGAGCCAACGAAGAGTGGAGTAAACTTGCATGAAAGGAGTTCTTGCGCAAATAGGTTAAAAACAATTTTTTTTTAGCATATTATAAATAAATTGTTGAATCCTCTTAAAATATGGAAGCTTCTAGTGTAGCGGTAAAGGTGGCTAAGGCATTGGTTTAGGACACATGTTCAAAACCCAAATGTGGCTTTGCATTGGTTTAGGATACATGTTCAAAACCCAAATGTGGCTTTCTTATATTTTTTAGATCCCCTCGTTAGAATTCCTGGTTCCGCTACTGACAGTGAACCTCAGTTAGTTTAGGATTGAGCCATATTTGATTGATTGATTAATCTTCTAATAGACTTGCATGATAGCAGTAATTTTTATGTTTAAGTGAATTCTTTTAGTCTGCTTGTGAAGTATAATTCATGATCTATTTCTCCTAATATCTGATGTTTGATGGATGTTAGAGATCCCGTCCACTTTTCCATAGCACCATTTTCGTGATACCCTTTTCTTATTACATACGCTTTGTAAACCACATTACAGTTCATGAACCTTAGATTGGAAGGTGTTTGGTGGCGTGGTCAGTTTCAGTTCTGGTTAAGTTTGTGTAATAGTGTCATTTAATTGTTTGGTTGTAGTGTGGTGTGGTATACACCTCTCTTTGTTTGAGCACCTAGATTCTGTTTTCTTCTTGGTATCTACTGATAGTTTGAAGCACTAAGCTTCTTTAATCTTGGTTAGTTGACTGCCTCCTCCAATAAAAATTATGTTCGGATTTCTACTGCATACTAAGTTGAATGGTTTGATGCATTTTGCTGAAGTTTGACTCTACAACCACATTGTTTCTGGCTTGCTCCTCTATCATAATTAGCGTTTCATGTCGTCTTTCTTTTGCCCTTTTTGTTGTCATGTCGTATCAATTAGAGTGCAATTGTTTACTATGAGCCTGTTGAATTATCTATTAAAGCAGACCGTTAATTATCACATGTTTCCTTCAGAAAAATGGGAAAGTTTCTAGTCTTAGTTTTTTTAAGGACCTTTAAATTTGTCGAATGTTTTTTTCACACATTGTTTCATTTATATACTTCTGTTTGAAGGGTAGCCTTGGAGCATGACAATTTTACCTATTGGTCACGGGTTCGACCCATGGAAGCAGCCACTAATGCTTACATTAGGGTATGCTGTCTACATTACACCCCTTGGGATGCAGCCCTTCCCCGAACCCTGTATGAATGTGGGATGCTTTGTGCACCGGGATGCCCTTTTTTTAATATACTGAAGTTTATCTACTTCATTTGACAAGAGTGGGTTGCTCTAGCGGTGAGCACCCTGTACTTCCAACCAAGAGGTTGTGAGTTCGAGTCACCCAAGAGCAAGGTGGGGAGTTCTTGGAGGGAGGGAGCCGATGGTCTATCGGAAACAGCCTCTCTACCCCAGGGTAGGGGTAAGGGCTGCGTACATACTACCCTCCCCAGACCCCACTAGTGGGATTATACTGGGTTGTTGTTGTTGTTGTTGTTATCTACTTCATTTCTTGCCTTTGTTTCATGCAGAATTTTACTACATAGACGATTTCTTACTATTAGTCTCCTCTAGTTGCTTATATCCTATCTGGATATGATATACATCTAAATAGCTTCATAGAACAACCTTTTCAATTAATGTATATGTCGTTTCTTCAAGTAAAATACTTTAGCTTCAATTTCATCTGTTGCAAACTAAATTCTTTTGCGAGTCAACATGAAAATGTGTGATCTGATATGCAAACATTTGTCCGTGTGTGTACATTAGTTTCTCAATCTGCGTTCCATATGCTAATTTCTTATTTGTGTATGATTCAGAATTTGTGAAATCTGTGGTGCCAATGCACTGAACATTTCTGGAGAGCAGACAAATGAAGCAAATAACGCTACAGTTGCCACTGTTGCAGCACCTGTAGGCCTTTTTGAAACCCGAGTCTTCTGGCATGGACGCCGTGTCATGAATTTCCTACTTGCATCCATGGTTTTTGCCTTTGTCATCTCATGGCTTTTTCACTTCAATATATTGCCCTAGATGCAATTGAAGATCATTGTCCTAGCAGCAAAGGTTTCTTAATTTGCTACTTTAACAACTCCACCCCCGGTAATTTGTGTTGTAGAGCCGGCAGAGGAATACTCAGATATTATCTTGGTCGCACTACTGGTGTGGTATCTGGTACAGTTGCGTGGAAGTATCCGGTATGGGTATGTCAAGTTTTTTGCTTATTTTTTGTACATTTTGACGAATCCCTACATGAAATATCCACACCCTTATCACACTCATTGGACGCGGATGTGTCAAGACAAATGAAGGACTTGCATAATATATGTGTAACGGTATAGGCCATGCTGTAAACATATCTTCTATAGGGGTTTCAACCATTAGCTTCTAAATATTGTTCGCCGTGATGAATGTTTTGCTAGAATGTAAGATAGTTTTGGTCATCAAGATGAATTTAAACTTCTTCCCAGCTAGTGTACCTATGTAAGTATATGTATAGAAGTACGGCGATAAAGCAGTGGCATTCTGTTGTATATCATTCTTGAAATTTCTGTACAAATATCTCATGGCTCTTAGTTGAATTGTAGTATATGTTAGTGGCAGCTATATGGCTGATGCAATCAACTGTTTTAACACCTGAACTTTTTTCTTTGACAACGGCGTGTTCGTGCCAGCTTAGGCTCATCTCGATTATTCCACCGGTAACGACCCAACCGGTCGTTTTACTTTCTAGATCCCCGTATGTGTTTTTACTGTTTTATGACCTACGAGGATGGTTAGTTCGGGATTTAGAAGGGTTCGGGTTGAAATCGGAACACTTGGTTCCTTGGATTGACTTTAAAAGGGCTAAGTTTGACTTTGGTCAACATTTTGAGTAAACGACCTCGGAACCGGGATTTGACGGTTCCAATAAGTTCGTATGACGACTTTGGACTTGGGCGTATGTTCGGATCGGGTTTTGGATGACCCAAGAGCATTTCGGCGCTTAATGTTGAAAGTTGGCTCATTGAAGGTTTAAAAGTTCTTTGAATTTGGTTTGAGCATAATGTTGAAACTCATGGTTCGGCTACTGTAATCATGAGTTTCAGTCCACTCTTCCAACCAAGTAGTAAAGTTTTTAACAATAGCTTTGGTGTTGCTCTTCGAGTTCCAAGACCCAACTCAAATTTTCAATCAATGTTATGCTAAGGGATGAAAAAGATATTTCAAGTTATGTAAGAAGATAAAATATGGGCCGTATTTGGTAGGAATGTCCCAAGCTGATAAAGAGTAATTTTTAAAAAAAAAAAAAAAAACCTAAATTAGAAGCTGATTTTTCTATTTCTCATCACTCTCACACACCTAAATTTTCCGTGTCAATGTTCAAGTGAGCGAAGACTATCAAACTGCCAAGGAAGGTAATTAGGACCAAAAATAGTTCGGGTATGCATTGAATTAAAAACTATCGGAAATAGCTCACTTCTGTCCTCCGTTAGCAAACTGGGCCAAAAAAATCCTCCACGTTAATTTTCTGGGCCAATAATGCCTTCATTCTAACGGCTGCCCACATAAGCCTTCTACGAGGCATTGATTAGCTGACATGGCAATCCACATAAGCAGACCCCCTTCTTATTTACCCTCTTCTTATATCGATAGTGTTGATACCCAATTTTGCCCTCATATTTTAAATAAGCATATATACTTTCAAAATGTCATTTTTGCATCATTACTTAATTTACAAGATTTATGCAAGTATTTTATATAATTTTCCATAATTTTTATAGCTTTAAAATTGATTTCTTTGCACTTAAACTACTTGATTATTTACTAGTTACCCTTTTAAATTATTTTGTGATGACTTAATCATCCAAATTTATTATTTACATCCACATACATGTTTTAAAATATTTTACTTCATTTACATATAATTATATTTGTATTTTTTGAGCCATTTACATAATTTTATAATAATAGCCTATATTTTACAATAAATTGCATCTGTAATTATATTTAAGGTCAAAACAATTTTTACATTTTTATAATCTTCAACTATTGTTTTAAAGTATTGAATTGCATAAATAGAATTTTTATATTTTATTTAACTATTTTATTAAAATTATTTCCCCTTAATTACCTACTTTACAATCTGGCCCAATTATGCCTTATTTCTCAGACCAATTAAGGTCCAAACGGACAGGCCCATCCCAATTGACCCCCAGAAGCCCAAAACCAAATGACCTAATAGGTCTGCCCATCAGCGACCCATTTTTATCCGACCCTAGCACCCTCTAATCTCGGCCGTTGATCTCAAATGATCAACGACCCACAATAAATCCCCACCTTTCCTTATATCCCCTCACCCAAACCCTAATCCCATTCCCCCACTTCAGTCGCCTCTAAATCCTCTCTATTTCGTCTGTCTCTGAGAAACTCTAGTAGCCGCCTCCTGATTTCTCTCCGATTCCAACCTAACAATGGAACCTCTTCTTGATTCACCTTCCTTATTTGTGTTACCGAATTAGTATCTACACGACAATGGTGTTACTTAGTACTTGCCTAAACTTGGCAAGTACTATCTCTCATAATCGGGCCCGTTCAACTCAATCTTGGAGATTTGGACAAAATCTTGTCCATATACATGAAGAATAGCTTGATTTTTCATACTAGTTGGCCGATTTTGAGTTTTAAACCCCAACTAGGGTTTGGAGTTTGATTTCTTTCCTTTCTGGTTACTCTACTGATTTTCATGCGAGATTTTACTCCTTTTGTTCATGTTTACTTGATTTCTTTCCTTTCTGGTTACTCTACTGATTTTCATGCGAGATTTTACTCCTTTTGTTCATGTTTACTTGATTTCTTTCCTTGTTTATCCGCCTGATTTTACCACTATATAAACCCCTCCCCCGATTCCCTTTGAACAGACTCGAAGGACTAAGAACTACTGTTAATCTCTTACTTTCATCTTCTATATTATTTTTGCTCTCTCTTGATTGTGGCCGGCTGAAATTCAAGGCCACCGGAATCTTCTCTATTAACCCCCCTAGTGCGAGCACTGCTCGGGGCTCACTGAAGCTCCTGTGAAATCTGACGCACTAGGATTTAGGGGTTCTAACTGTTGTCTTTCTTTTGCCGTCACTACTGAGATTTTGAGTTACTCACTCTTTTGCTCGTTTATCTTCGCAATTGGTTAGCATTCTTGACCCTTATAGCCTTAATTATTACTCCTTTACTTGTTCATATGTATGTGTATTATGTATACCAACACTGTTTGAACTTCTAGACAAGCATGCCTTAAGCTTCTTTGTTATTTGTGAACTCTCAGCATGGTATCGTTGTATGCTTATTGTAATTCTATTGTCTCAATGATGTTCTGCAATTTCATGTTCCCTAGTGTCAAACTTGATAGGTTTCAACATGTATAGTAGACCTTCACTCTGTGTATTTTATTCAAGTAGTTTCTAGCCTTCTTAAGTTTTGCCTGATTGGTCATGCTCATGTTAGCCTTAATGTCGTGTCCTTTTCTTGTTATGAGTTCACATTCATGCCTTGGATTTATGGGATCTCTGTAGAAATTGCTTGCTCAGAATCTGCTTTAATGAATCTCTTCCTACTAATCTACTATTTCCTGCAAAGTGATTCTTGACTCTCCCATGTTATAGCATTGTCTTAATATATAGCCAAGCATGTTTGTTTGTGATTTGTAACTCTGATGATTGTGTCCCTTGACCTGTCAATCCTTCACTCTTAGCATTGCTTCTAGGATAAATACCAATGTGTAGTTTTCTCTCATGTGAGGTCGACTGACATTGAATCCCAATGTTTGCTTGTCCTATTAACATGTTCTTTTACCTACTATGAGTTCTTTAGAATCTTTGTGCTATAGTTAATGTCCATCATGATAAGTAAGTGATAGGTTTTTCAAATTGTGCCCACTAGCATGTTGTTATGTTGTTTGCAACCACATTCTCATCAGGTTCTTATGTTAAAACTTTCATATAAAGATTGTACTGTACCTGCTTCTTGTTCATGATTCTGTTAGACTATTAGCTAAAGGTCTTTAGGTTGTTTCTGGATCATGCTTTACTTTGAAACTCTTTGAAATGGTTTGTTGTCCTATGATGCTCAACCTTGTCACTATCAAACTCTGTTTCTGGAATTACAAATATAAGCTTGCCTCATATGTGTCTTGTGTGCCTTTTTATTTAGTATGATCCTATTTATATGTCTTGGCTAGAACTGTTGATGGTTACAGCTATAAGAACTAAGTGTTTAAGTTGTTTTATGAGTATTGTATCACTTGCATAGCTAAATTTAGCATCCGTTTAGGTAAATAAGTTATTCATTGGGACTGAAAATGGGCCATGTGTGTTGTTGGACCTGGGGCACTGGATTCAGGTGCACTCTGATTATCATGTGAGCCTGTGGTTTGGGCCTGTTGTTTGTCCGGAGAGTAAGACCATTGAAGGCCTGGGATATCCCTAGTTTATTTTTTTGTTGGGCCTGTAATTGCTTTAGTGGGCTTGTATTCGTTTCAACCTATGTTTCGTCATTTTCAAGTCCGTATTATTTCATTCTTGGATCTGTAATAATTTGTAAACAAACAATTGGGGTACTAGTGAAATTGGGGAAACGAGTATATTCTAATATTTGCATGAAAGGGTAGAAAACCTGCCTATAGGGTTTATGTGTTATGTTTGATTGTTTCGTTCAGCATGCCTTGTTTGTTATTTTGTTTGGTGTATGGTACACTAATAGAAATTGTGCCTATAGAAAATTATGCATCCCTCACTTCCACACTGTTCAAACACGTTAGTATCTACCATGCTCATTTCTATGTTACTACTGTACATTTAGACAACATGCCTATGGGAAGTATAACGTATGCTTTGTTGACCTAGATACCATGCCTATAGGACTTCAAATAATTAATTGGTCAATTGCTTCTATTACTTTTAAGTGTACTGCCCATCTAGAAATCATGACTATAGAATTCTAATCTTTTAATCGATTATTTTCGTTGTTTTCATTACACTGCCCCGCCTAGACGACATGTCTATAGGATTAAAGTGTTATAAAATCAAGCCCAATTGTCAATTGTTATAAAACCTGCCCATAAGATGTTTATCGACGACTTCACTGCCTACTTACACAAACGATTAGATATCATGTTTATAGGACTTGCAACACTCTAATTTACCTACATGTTAGTCCAGAAATTATAGTATTGTTTATATAATAATGGAATCCATAATCACGTAGAAATCATGCCTATGTGAGGAGGTTACCTAAGCCCTTTTATTGTAATTATATGCAGTCCTATCTGTTTTTGATTGTTGCCTAGTTTTATCATTTTGAGCAACTGAGTTGAGTCTAGAACTACCAAATAGTAGGTCCAAAGCCTCCTGGACCCTAGGCATGGGACGGGTAGCGCACGCATAGGGTACGACTTAGAATTGAATTAGAACGCTTTTAGGTAAACAACTTCAACATTGTAATCGGGTAGCAGGAGATGATAGTATGTGCCCGCTGAATAATATGAGCAACTCCTACCTAAAGAAAGTTGCGAAGTATTATTTATGTTGCACGTGGTGATCCT